TGCCCCTCCTCCACGGGACCCCAAGCACGGCAGGTGTCAGATGCTGTGGCAGGCACAAAGCTGACTCTGCCACAGGCTCCTTCCTCTAGAGCTTTACAGACCAGTGAGGAAGACATGTGTACAAAACTGGGAAAAACCTGAGCAAGAGGAAGGATCCCCAACACGTTAATTTCCTAGTAAATCTTCTGTCATCTTCCTCCTAAAAACCCTTCCACAACTTCAGTCTGCCTACTAAAGTCAGATTTCCCTGGTCCGAAGACCGAGGCTCACTATGGTCCGATACAGCTTACCTTTCCACCCGTGGCCCCGCCATTCCCTTCCTGCCACACGGACCTCCCTGGCCGGGCGACACAGAATAGTACGCTGCCCGGTGTCTCTACTCATGCCAGTTCCTGTTGGACCAACTGCTCCGTCCCATCTCAGCACCTCTAAGCCCTACTTCCAGTCAAGGCTTAACTGCCGGCAACTCCTCCCTGGCATCTTCCCTGAGCCCTCTAAGATGTAATTAACCACTCCTTTGGATGCTCCAGCCCTCCTTCCTCACCTCTCCTACGGCTTTACTATGGACCATGTGTTTTGTACATGTCATACCACCTATCCTGGCTACTCACGGCAGGTTTCCTGTCGGACTCTGCATGTTTAAGGAGTAGCTAAAGAGTGAGTGATATGGCATAAAGAACTTCTCTTCCATCTTGCCCTTTTTTTGGGGTCTTCCTTAGAAGCCCAAATTCATCTTGTGAAATGTGAGAAGGAAGTAAAGTCCACACAAAGTGCAATACGATCGTGGTCCACCCTGGCTTAAATAAGATTTAAATATAGTTAGTTGAAAAAAATAAAAGTTCAAACTTGATTATTTATGGACACCACGTACTACACGGAAATAAATACTTTCTGGAAAACAGAATAAGAAGAGACTATAAACAGTCCACTAAACTGTGTGAAAAGAGTAACGTGTGTGTTAGCGAATTATAGTAAAATTCAAACACTTACATATCTTGGGAATTGCTTGAAGGAATGAAACATATAGAAGCGATGAAAATAAATTATTCCAGTTGCCAGGGTATCATAGTGTCTGTTGATCTGGTTAAGGACTTGACCAAGAATTTTTGGAAGTTATGCTCTTAGTTAAATGTGGAAACATAAAGGCAAACAATAACAGCAAAATCAGCGTTTAAACACTCTGGTGGCAAAGCATGGGGATCTCAGGGTTTCAGGACTCTGACAAGTTGACGTTAGCAAGTTGAAGTTCCTACTTCTAACAAGGCAGGGCTTCCCCAACCTCTAGGTACACCTCAACGGTGACCACCGGGCATGCCTCCTGGTGGCCACTCACCCAATGGCTGAGTCTACACGTTTAAAGGATAAACAGGAAACAGAAAACCCCTGAGGAGCCAAGTTAGTCAGAAAAAATTGAAATAGAAATACTTAAGAGCCATTTCAGTACGGACACAGTGCTACCTATTTTGTTTTTAGTATCCAGGTGGGGAGCCTATCTATAACAGATTCCAAGGAGACTTAGGATACAGTCCCAAACGTGTGCCCACATCAAAGATGAACCGAGCCCCCTCTCGGCGGTACCGGGCTTCAGTGGCTGGATCGAGTCCTTCGAGCTGCGAGGGTGTATGAGCCAAGTCTTTCTTATCCCAGTACCAACATGGTTTTGTGTGGTCCAGGTTTGCTGAGGTTACTGAAGGGCTTGAGTTTTCTTTATTCTCCTTCATTTATTGAAGTAGACTTGTTCTTTCCAAAAGATTTTCTGAAAATGTTAGAATCCTAAGAGAAAGAGAAGGAGCAGTGAAGTTGGAAAGGAATACTCCACATCAAACAATCCGGATCATCAAAGACAGTGTGCAATCACTGATTATATATGATTCTGGATCAAAATTTCCCAGAGCGGCACCTGGGTGGCTCAGTCAGTTAAGCGTCTGACTCTTGATTTCAGTTCAGGTCATGGTATCACGGTTTGTGAGATCGAGCCCCATGTCAGGCTCCATGTTTACAGGGCTCGGAGTCTGCTTGGGCTTCTCTCTCCCTCTCTCTCTGCCCCTCCCCTGCTTGCGCACTCCCTCTCAAAGTAAATAAATAAACAAACTTTAAAAAAATTTCCCGGAGAAGCAACACTACTGATTGACCATTACAAGCTCAGACTCAGCCCCAAAGCCAATATAACACATAAGTGACCCACGGTATAATAAATCCCAAATTTCATTGCAGCTGAAAAGGAAGGGCATTTCCGTCTCACTTTCCTTTCTGCCTTTCTTCAGTAGACTCAATCCCTTCATGCTGGTCTAGATTCCGTTCTTTAGTAAAATCCAGGCCTGTCTTAACCCCCTAAAAAGATTTATGCTCCAAAATTATCCATCTCTTCCACTCAGCACCCAATCAGAATTTCCCTTTTTCAGTTTACTTCATTTCACTTAGAAGAGCCACCAGATTGGCTGAATTCAAATCTGCACAAGTCACTGAACTGAGCAATAAAAATCAGATGTCTGGGTGCAGTGATTCTGGGGCTGTGGGTAGAAGGAGGTGGTCCACAAGGGAAGAAAGAAGTTCCTTTAAGATGTTCAAGGGGCGCCTGGCTGGCTCCATCGGTTAAGCTTCCGACTTCGGCTCAGGTCATGATCTCATGGCTCGTGAGTTCGAGCCCTGTGTCGGGCTCTGTGCTGACAGCTCGGAGCCTGGAGCCTGCTTTGGATTGCGTGTCTCCTTGTGTCTCTACTCCTCCCCCACTCACTCTCTGTTTCTCTCTCAAAAATAAATGAACATTAAAAACAAATTTTTCTCATCCTCTTCTTTTCCTTTTTAAAAATTTTTTTTTAGTGTTTAATTTTTTATTTCTGAGAAAGAGAGAGACAGAGGGCGAGCAGGGGAGGGGCAGAGAGAGGAGACACAGAATCTGAAGCAGGACCGTGAGATCATGACCTGAGCCGAAGTCGGATGCTTAACCAACTGAGCCACCCAGGCACCCCATCATCCTCTTCTTTTTCATTCAGAATAAAGAGGTTTTCTAAAAGCATCATGTTGAGCAAAGAAAACAGAAAACAAGGACTCTCATCTGGAGGCCACTGGAATATGTAAACCGTCTGTAAACTCATCAGAGAAGAGCAATTCTCAAATAGGTCGCAGAAGTACTTTAAAGAGGCAGCTAGAAGCAGGTGGGTCTTGTCGGCAAGGAAAGAGCGGTTCACTAGCTCAGTTCCGGGCCAGAGGCATCAGTGAATCTGGAAGCCTAACCTTTTCTGTGTGCTGCCTCATTTCTAGTGGGAAAGGGGATTTGGCAGGGCTGAATGCACCCCTCCTCCTCCTCGCACCTGGAAGCCCTACAAATGGATCTTTCCTCCACCAGGAAGAAATTAAGTACCAGGAAAAAAGTAATCTTCTTCAACTGATTTGTAATTGTGTGTGTGACAGAACTGGGCAATGACTGGAGGTTGGGGAGGTCAGTTACCTAAAGCCTAAGTAAACATGGAAAGTGCACAATCAGATGCTCAGTAAATATGAAGAGTTCAGAGTTGGATGTCATACTGGGATACATTTCTCAACTCTCGGCTGGCAGAAGCTCTAAAAGTGTGACTATATCCTCTGTTGGCAAGGCCAGGGAGAAGCAGGCGATCTCATATAGTGCTGGTGGGAACACAAAATGGAACAACTCTCACAGAGGGGAATTTGGCAATATCTAACAAAATTACATATGCATTTGCTGTTTTACTTAGTAATCCCACTTCAGAGAAACTACTCTGAAAATACCATTACAAGTATGAAACAGCGTATCCACAAGATCATTCATGAAAATGTCACTTATAACAGCAAAAACTGTGAACAACCCAAATGTCCCTCAATGGGGCACTGGCTGAAGAAAATATGGCTAACATGAACATTAATGGTGTACCATGCTGGTATTAAAAAAAAGACTAAAAAAACCCTTTAAGTCCTGGTAAGGAGACAGTTCCAGGATCAGCTGCATGCAGGATAGTGTACGTGGTACGTTAGTATCCGTGTGAGAGGAGAAATAATAGACATCTGAATTTGTTTTTTAAACTAATAATAATAATAATAATAATAAAAAGGTTACCAATAGGGAACAGGGAAGAACAGAATGGAAGGGACAGGAATGGGAGCAATACTTTGGGGATCTCTTTTTACACAGCTTCGACTTTTTTTTAAATGTGTTTTTATTTTGAGAGAGGGAGGAAGAGAGAACGTGAGCAGGGGAGAGGCAGAGAGAGAAAGAGAGGGAGAGAGAATCCCAAGTAGATCTCAAGAACCATGAGATCATAACCTGAGCCAAAATCAAGAGTCAATGCCCAATTAACTGAGCCACCCAATCACCCCCACAGCTTTGACTTAAGAAGCCTTTTATTTGAAAATAATTGCAGATTTACAGAAGAGTTGTAAAGGCAGGAGGGAATTCTCATATACCCTTCACTCTGCTTCCTCCAACGTTAACGTCTTATACAACCATGGTATGTTTACGAAAATGAAGACATTAATTTTGGTACAACTGAACTACAGCCTTGACTCAAATTTTGAGTTTCTCCAAAAATCCTTTTCTGTTCTGGATCTAATCCAGGATGCGACACTGCATTTAGGGGCCTTATTTCCTTAGTATCTTCTAGTAACAGTTTCTCAGCGTTTCCTGGTTTTTTCATGAGCTTGCCAGTTTTAAAGAGTACCAGGCAGAATGAAATGTCTCTGATTTAGGTTTGTCTAATGTTTCCCCAAGAACAGACTGGAGTTTTGGGGAAGAATGCCACAGAGGTGAAGTGCCCTTATCTCATCTCACCACATCAGATAACAGAACCTACTGTCCATGTAAACCATGACCACTTGGTTAAGATGGGGTCTTGCCAGGTTTCTCACTGTAAGTTACTATTTTTTCCTTTCCATTCTCTATTCCTTAGAAATGAATCACAAGGCCTAGCCTACCCTCAAGGGCAGGGAATTAAGCGACATCTCCTGGAAGGAGAAGTATCAATGAAGGTGAGGACAGATGTTCTAACTACCACAGTAATTAGTGAGCATTTGGGGGAAAATATTTTGCAATGCAAAATACTAAGCAAATCATCCCCTTTTCTCCTTCAAGTTTCGCCCATTAATTTTAGCATTCATCTGAGGATCTTGCCTGTAACAATTCTTGTGGTGTTCTTTATTGTAAAAAAAATTTTTTTTCAACGTTTATTTATTTTTGAGAGAGAGAGAGAGAGACAGAACACGAGAGGGGGAGGGCAGAGAGAGAAGGAGACACAAAATGGGAAGGAGGCTTCAGGCGCTGAGCTGTCAGCACAGAGCCCAGCGCGGGGCTCGAACTCACGAGCCATGAGATCATGACCTGAGCCGAAGTCAGATTCCCAACCGACTGACCACCCAGGCGACCCGATTACTGTGGTGTTCTAATGGTGACTTTCTATTTCCTTCCTTCCTTTCTTCAACATTAGTTGTTCTTTTGTAAGAAAGATCTGTTTCTTCACCCTCATTCATGTATTTATTCAATCACTTATTTATATTAGTATGGACTCATCGGTGTTTGTTTCATTCTTTGAATCATAAGCCAATACTACCGTCATTTACTTCGTTGCCCAAACTATTCCAGATATAGCCATTGGAAGCGGCTCTTTTGGGTTGGCTCGCGAGTCCTTCTGCAACTCTGACTTCTGAATCATGTAAATATTTAACACTAAAAAGAAAAAAGCAAACCCTAAAACTCAGAATAAACCCAGTGTATACCAAACATGAAACACGGAAAACCATTACAAGTAATTCCCGATCTCGTTCCATCCTGAGCGAAATATATTCGAAGCACAAAAGAACTGCAAGGAAATCTTAAACTTCTTCAGTAATACTTTGTTGGTACTGGCATTACTATTGTTCACTGTCAACCCGTTTGTGTATGTGTACCGTAGGATAAAGCAAAGAGATACAAATGTTGATGTCGTTAGGAATCAAGATTTTCAGTTCAAAGTAAACATATGCATAAGATCAAAGGTTAAGGAAAACCTGTAATGTTAAATTTTAATGGAAAACACAAAAATCATGGTTAAAATATGTATACACATACATCCCAGCTCTGTCCACCGCAAGTATCTAGGAGCGACGACATTCCTATAGTCAGGAACACATCAGTGTCCAAATCTTAGTTACCCTCTACAAAAAAAAAAACCGGTCTCCTTTCTCCTTTCCAGTCTGGGATAGGGGTCTGCCTGAGATGTGCTAAGAGTAATGGAAGCTTCTAAAAAGACACAGGAGCCAGCGTGGACTCTCACTGGACAAATTCAGGGAATTTGAATATTAAAAAGAAAAATAACAATGACTGTAAAAGAGTGAATGAACAATCCATGAGTCCGTAATTTATGTATATATATAGCAAAGTCTACTTTGCTAGCACTGGTGTTAATTAATGTGGAAGAAAAGTACCTTTACCTTAACAAAAGCAATCAATCCTGGCATCACTAATAGGGTGAAAACCTGCTATTATGTGGCCTCCTGATATGATGCAATAGAAAGAAGTATCAACCACCTATGTAGTATTCTTCCCTCTAAAAAGCTAAATTCAACCGAGACTTTAAACCTAACTTCCACTTTACAGTAAATACTGGGAGTAGAAGAACAAGTCAAATGGCACAAGGAAACTTTTAGTCACATCCAGAAATGTGACCCTCCACCAGACAACTGACCTGGTCTCTTCAAGGAAGTCCATGTCATGAAAAATACAGAAGATGGGAGGAACTGTCCCAGATTTCAAAAGACTACAGAGGCATAATGCTCAAACTAATGTA